GGCGGCAACGGCGGCGGCGGCGCCGACCAATCGAGCCGTCCGACGACGACGACGGCGGCGGCGGCGACGACGACGACCTCTGGAGCTCTTCTGGAGCACCATAGTACCACGCCACACCCGCCACACCCACAATACCACACCACACCCACAGTAGGGGGGTGTGGCCCATCGTTTGGGGGGGGGGGGCGATGCCATCAGCATGGTGTGTGTGTGTGGGGTACCAGGAGCTGGATTATGTATGCATGTATGCATGGACGTATGTGTGTATGTATGTATTTATGTATGCAGGTATGCGTGTATGTATGTGTGTATGAAATGCAATATACGGTAATGTGATGCAATGCATTGTCGTGTAAAGCAATGTAGGAACGTATAGATGTTTATGTATATGTATGTGTATTTGTATGTGTGTAAATGTGCATATGTAGCTGTATGTTTGTACGTATACGTATGTGTATATGAATGTGTACATGTTTGTATATATGGTTATCTATTGTTTATATTAATGTTTATGTATATGCAGATGTATCTGTATTTGTGTATACACACATATATATATATATATATATCTATGTGTACTTGTTTTCGAGTATGCATATAATTATATTTGTATGCTTATGTCCATGACCACGTCTATGTACATGTCTATGGACATGTGTATGTGTATGTATGTGTACATGGGGTTTTCTATGTAGTTGCAGGTTCATATTTATATGTATATGTAGATGTGACTGTATATGTTCAGGTATATGTTTATGTACACGTATATATTTCTTTGTATATCAAAATGTATATGTATACGTATACGTATATGTGTTTGTGTATGTGTATGTGTATGTACAGGTATGTGTGTAAGTATTTGCACCGGTATATGTATGGGTATACGTATATGTATGTGTATGTGTACATGTACATGTATATGTATATGTATAGGTATACGTATATGCATATGCATATGTATATGTATACGTATATGTAGATGAATGTGTATATGTATATGTACATGTATATGTATATGTATAGGCAGACGTATGTATACATGTTTGTTATGCACGTGTATGTGTTTATGTACATGTATGTATAGGTCAATGTACATGCACATGTGTATATATATATATATACGGACACATTATATGCATCTGTATATGTATAAGCATGTGTGTACACACATTCTTATACACATATGTATATGTATAGGTTTATGTTTATGCATATGTGTATGTATATGTATGTATATATATATATATATATACACACGACCTTATATTCTAATGTGTATACTTATGTATATGTATGTGTATACGTATCTGTATATGTGTATGTATAGGTTTATGTATCTGTATATGTACATGCATATGTATATGTATGTGTTTGTGTTTGTGTATGTGTTTGTGTATGTGTAGGTGTATTTGCATATGTATGTATGTATTGTAAAGGCCTTATGGCGATTGCCGCCGACCCTGAATGTCGACGACGACGAAGACGAACGCTTTCGGGGGCCTCTTGGGGCTAGTTTGGGGGCCTCTTGGGAAGCTGTTGGGGGCCGCTTGAAAACCTCGTGGGGGCCTCTTGGGGCTTCCTGGGGGCCTCTTGGGGGCTTCCTGAGGCTTCTTGGGGGGCTTCTTAGGGACCTCTAGGGGCCTCCTGAGAGCTTCTTAGGCCGAGGGCTCCAAATGTCCGTTCGGGTCCCCCGTCTGGGCTCCTTGGAGCCGTCTTGGGGGCGCTTCGGCTGTCTTGGAGGTCTCTTGGTGTGTCTTGGGGCCCTCTTGGGTCGTTTTGGGGCTCTCTTGGAGGCCTCTTGGGCCATCTTGGGGCGGTCTTGGGGGCTTCTTGGCCTGTCTTGGAGCGTCGGGAAGCTGACAAGGCGAGAATGTCTGAATCCAACAAATTATGGGAAATGGATGTTTTTGGCTCCTTGGAACCCTCCTGGGAGTCCTCTTGGAGGCCTCCTGGGGTTTTGGAAACCTCTGAGCCGTCTGGAGGCTACTAAGGCGACTTGGACCGATACTTCGGCGATTCGGGGCCCTCGAGGACCGTCTTGCGGGCATCTTGGGGCAGTTTTGCCGCGTCCTGCGGCTTTTCTTGGCCGCCCAACCGCCCGAGGGAGAGTCGTCTCTACCCTGGGATCCACCCTGGACCCCTCCCCCGGGACCCCCCCAGGACACCCCCCGGGACCTCACCCCCGGGACCCCTCCCCCCCCCGGCGGGGAAGGGATCAATGGGAAGGGGCTTCCTTTCGACTCAACTACAACGTTGCTCAATTTCGCTGTGGCTGGCGCGCTCGAGGAGGAGAAGCTGGTGAAAGTGAGGGGAACGGCGACGGGCCTAGGGAAAAGGGGGGAAGCGAGCGGCGAAGGCGACGACGACGACAACGATGACAACGACCACGACGACGACGACCACGACGACGACGACGACGAGTCAAACGGAACAGCCTCCGCCCACATGCCGACAGGGTTTGCGTATGTATATATATATATATATGTATATGTATATCTAAAATATGTATATATAGGTTATTGTATGCATGTATGTCTGTTTGTATGTATGAATTACGTATGTATGTATGGATGCATGAATGTATGGATGTATGGATGTACTGATGTATGGATGTGTGTATGTATGT